AAAACAAAAAGAAATCAGATTTACATAAACTTCATCTTAATTTATTTATGAAGTTATCAAATATATCATTTCTGAAGTTATTCAAAACACTCACAGTACATGTTTCATCACATCTATTAAAACACTTGGATATCACCTCTTAATCTGATAAAAGGTTGCTGTTGGTACTTTGAATATATTTTAATACAATATAATAACTAACTTTCTTTTCTGCTCTCTCAGTCCCTGCTATACAATTGTACAAACATGGACATACTACATTTAGACACAAAGATGTACATTTAGATTTAATGTACTGTAGTGTTAAAAAATTAAATGTGACTGTGTGTAGTACTCTTTATTGTCAATAAAAAAGGGTTGTGCCATAACTTCAATTTGTTCTTCTCCATTTTGGCATCCTGTGCCATCACTTCTGGTACCTGTATTAATTAAACAGATCATTATTATACCACAATCATGTTATTACACATCTTTAGTAATTAACAAAAATATAATATGTATTGCATATATGTTAACCCTTTAAGTGGCAATGCACCCTAATGTACTTTAGTGGAGAGCACTGCCACTCAGTGGGTTAATCAGACAATCTTCTGCATGGTTATGCATGACTATTTTACTGTCACTTGGAGCTAGTGCTCATGGCACTCAATGGAATATAAATCAAACTATCTGCATACCCAATGTGCCCAACTTTAGTTAATCTTACTCTGTCAAACACCAGATTATCTGTCTAATGCCAGACAATTTTACTTGTCAAGGGGACAGCACTGCATGGTGCTCCATGGGTTAAGGCAAAAAAGTTTAAAGAACTACGATATCCAACAACATAAAGTGCATGGTCATATGGCCACCACTGCCGCACAACTCCATATATAAACACTGCTACAAAAAGCCTGGCAAAAGTAGGACTTGCTTGTCCAAGCTCAGTGAGACTTGTTCAATGTGGGGGAATGCAATGCAGCCTTGTTCACAGGACATGAAGTCTGTGCAGTTTCTGGACTATCACTTGCTGCTAAATCTATTGAGAGAGATTGTTAAATCTAACTCAAAAGATAGTTTCAGTTATACCATATCTTATCTCTAAAACACATCATAGGCAAGCAATCATGCTTATCCAACTTTTGCTAACTGCTTTGAACACTCTCAGGTCCTGGGTATTTTTTCCCTCTGTCCCACACTCTCTGTCTTTGTGCTTATCTATATATTAATCCTGATTCACACCATATATAATCTGTACGACCGTGTGAGCATGTGAACAACCACAATTATTATATATTATTAAAAACTGGCAATAAAAAACACAAAACAACATAATTTCATGTCCACAATTTTCAACGATTATAAACAGGATTTATATGTCCGTATCCCGGTTCATGTGTCTGCTATTGAAATATTTGCTGTATATATATAGTAGCATGAGTTTTTGACTTATATTATAGTCATTTGACTCATTTTCGAGAGTCATTTTATATCTAGCAACTAGCAAGGTTCTACAAATTAAAAATAGTTTCACCAATCTTACCTTGAAAAAATAGTTAATCTTTCTTGATAGTGAATTGTTGCATCAACGAACGAAACAAAACGGCACTTTTCCTCCACGTAGTAAAACAAGTAAAGTGCGAGGGAAAGATTTTCTAGCTCAAAAACAACCGAAAACCTCTAAATTCTGAAAAATAGTGAAATATTTGTGTAAAAACAGGGGGGTGCAGGACTTTGTTTAGTGCTTCGGATCGCGGTTGGTCAGTGGCAATTACCATGGAGACTTCGGACCAGTTGTCATGGAAATGGCGTAAGCGCCGCCATGTTTTTGGCGACACTCTTTCATGCCGAGCAGGTCCTCCAGTAATATAGTATAGCTCAGTGGTGCTAGCACGATGTAAACAATTGATGTAAGCTAATCGCTGATTGGCTTAATTATATAAGCTTGTCGCTGAATGGCTATGGGTAACGTTAATAGTAATCTGCTTCGCATATACAAAAATAAAGATATACATCGGCACTGCATTGATATATGTTCATACGTGCAAGGTTTTTTTCATTATAAAAGTTATTTTCCCAATTTAGATTGGATGGGTCATGAAATAAATTTGGTAAGATTGGATGGGCTTTGAAATTTTTATCTACATCCTAAGATGGGTCACCAAACTTATTGGCAAAATTTGTGATTTACCTCCATCCCACCCTAGCAGTTACTTTATGACCAGTCCCTTAGTAGTTAAATTTCGTAACGTTTCGAACCAGTTTTCGTAGTCATTTCAGCTGTTTGGACATCTTAGCCTGCGAACAGACCCTCCTGGGTTACGGGCAGCGCGAAGAAAGGAGTGCCTGCACGGAACTATAGGTTTTCTTGGTAGTGGCGTTCGTATAGAAACGCAGGCTTCTGCAGGAGCGCGAAGGGATACAAAAGATACCCCGGCAAATATGTACGAATAATTATATTGTTGATCCTCGCTGGCATGTCATTATAAACGTTGTACTGTTTACTGTATAAACTGCTGACAATTTTGTCGTCGATACGGCTTCCACTATTGACACACTCGTGATTGCGAAGAAATTAATAAATCCATACTCATTTAGACCACAGGTAATAAAATTTTAGATGTATTCGGTATTCCAAATCCCAATCTATCAGTATCTGACCGTATTTTAAAGTGCCTATGACACGAAATTTCACCCCAAATGTTTAGGATTGCATTGTAAAGATCACGTAAAATGACTTAATAATTTCTTTTATAGAATTTTGGTCACTTGCTTCCTTTGCAAGATATACAACTTTGTTTCATATGCAAATATCACCGGTGTGACGTCACAAAGTTGAATATCTTGAAAAGGGAGCAAGTTACCAAAATTCTATAAAAGAACTTATTAAGTCATTTTAATTGATCTTTACAATGCAACCATAAACCTCTGGGGTGAAATTTCGTGTCATAGGCACTTTAATAGCTTCAAATATTCAGAACATTGTTCTTTCAGTCACATAGTACAAGTATTATTTACATTCAATGCCAATGGTAGTATTTTATTCGGCTTTATATTTGTATGTGTATTGATTATTAAGGCCCGCTTCATACGCCGTACTTCACATGTGCCGAATACATTAAAAACTAGAGGGCACTCAGAGACTGCATACCTCCGCCCGTTACTCGGAAGTGAAACGCAACCTATAAAGTGTTATAATTCTTAAGCATAAAAGATTTCAGGCCCCCGCGAATTGAAATCGAATTGCTGATAGAACATATTACTGTTGTTGTACTGTACAGTACTTGTAAAATAAAAACTTTTTAAGTGTCATTAAATAAATGCACAAATTTTGCTTTATGCACTCGCGCGTGCAGTAATTTTCACAGTTGTGCTATTTTAAATTCCCAG